GCATTCAAGAGCACTTCAACCCACCAGCATGACACCTGAGAACCTGAGTAGACAACTTCATTCTTTACCCTTCACATCCATGTGACGTGTCAGGGGTCCCAAACTAGTCTAAATTCCTTTATGACCATTACATTTTGTTCTTCTTTTCTTTACTTTTGTTTGTGGGGTTTGTTTGTTTGTTTGTTTTTTACAGTTGTCTTTCTATTGTAGCTCCAGGCCAATTAATTCCTGCTTTTATAATCAGTCTACTGCGTGCATATAAAATATTCACTTGTCTTCTGAAGACACATGCTTCCATCATCCCTATGACAACTCTTATTTTCTCCTAGGTATCATTAGATTTCTCTGTTCAGTTGGGTAAGAATAATAAGTAGATGAGTTCTCTTAGTTAACACTTCTGTTTTTCAGGGTGGGGAGTACCTATTACATAATTGTAAGAAAAGAAATGCAACACTAGCTCTAATGATGCATTTCTAACTTGCCTAAGCAGCTGAGTTTAATCCCAGATTCATAGAAGAAGGCTGAAGCCACTGACAGTGACGTGTATTGAGAGAATTGGTTTATTTAAACTGCTAAAATCTGAATAGATGAATAACTCAACACTTACACCTATAACAGAGAGAATTGTGTTCTTGTTACATTGTCCCACCATTCTTTTAGTATTGCAGTTCCTATACATTGACGTTGTGGTATGTCACTTAGACCTTTACACATAGAAGGCTCTCTATATTATTGCAATGAAGGTAAATCAGACCATGGCAGAGTGTACAGGGAAGAGGTGGGGTGGGGCTCTGTGCCCCTCTACTACTATTCACATGACACATTGAAGTAGTGTGCTGGTTGTTTGGGGTCAACTTGACACCAACATCGACATATCTGGTAAGAGAGTCATATTTGAGAATATAATGCATAAGACTAGCCTACAGACATGTAAGATATTTTATTCATGAGTGATTGATGTGGGATGGCCATCCTGAACTTGTGGTTCTGGACAGTATATGAAAGAAAGCACAGAAAGCAACGTAGAACATTCTAGTAAGCAACATTCCTCCATGGCTTCTGCTTTATTTCCTACCTCCGGATTCCTACCTTGAGTTCCAACCCTGAATTCCCTTAGTAATGGAGTGTTATTGGAACCCATTAGCTCATATAATCCCTTTCCTCCTCAACTTGATTTTAGTCATGGTGTTCTATCACAGCAATACAATCCCTATTTAGGACAGAAGTTGTTACCAGAAGTGGGATGTTGAGGTGACACACCTGACCATGTATTATAGGAAGAATAGTGTAGGCTGGAAAATTCACTGAATGCTCAGAGCTCAGGTCTGTTCTGGGGGAGTATAGAAAGTAAAAATGTTGAGAGCAGTGTATGTGATGGATGTCTGACTTGTGCATTTTCACAGGGATGCTGTGGGATGGTCTGTATGTCAAATTACTCTGATTGGTCAATAAATAAAACACTGATTGGCCAGTGGCTAGGCAGGAAGTATAGACAGGACTAACAGAGAGGAGAAAAGAAAGAACAGGAAGGCAGAAGGAGTCATTGACAGCTGCCACTATGACAAGCAGCATGTGAAGACACCGGTAAGCCACGAGCCACGTGGCGAGGTATAGATTTATGGAAATGAATTAATTTCAGCTATAAGAACAGTTAGCAAGAAGCCTGCCACGGCCATACAGTTTGTAAGCAATATAAGTCTCTGTGTTTACTTGGTTGAGTCTGAGCAGCTGGGGGACTGGCGGTAGACAGACTTGTCCTGACTGTGGGCAAGGCAGGAAAACTCTAGCTACACAGGGAAGTCTTGGAATCCTGTAAGGATTCAAACAGGGCCACTGGTATTTTGAATTATCAACCTGTGGCTCTAGTTAATTGGGGCTGAAGAATTGGCTGCCATTAAGAAGAGACCAATATCATTGAGAAATATCTTCTGGGAAGTGTTTTCCCAGGGTCAGAGCACAGAAACTGTGGTTCAGAAGGAGCCAAGCTTGTGACTTATGCTATCATGCATATTTGTTAATCTGTAAGAGTTCCCCAAGTAGCACTGTTTTCGAAGACATGACATGGTTATAAAGAGCAGATGAGACTTTTCACTGTGAAATGTCAGAAAAGGTCACCAGTGACAGTGCAGCCTCAGATGCAGTAGAAGCCCCACCATTGAAGGGGTCATGGAGAAAAATTGAGGATTTGATTTGCACCATGTGGCAAGAGCCCAGGAGAAAGAATAGAAAGTATTAGTGAAATTACAACCCAGTTACAATAAAGACACCAGGATTTGGAGACACCAATACCATGGGATAGCTACCACAGACATCATGAGGTGTGGAGTAGAGCCGGATTGAGCTCATAAAAACATTATGTGAGTTGTGGCAAGGCCTTTGGAGCCCAGAAGACCACGAGTCCTGGCAGTCTGCCACTGAACTCTCCACTGTGGGCTTTGGTTATGCTTTGATTTGACTGTGATGGGCTCTAGCTCTTCCCTTTTGGAATAAAAAGTGATGTTACTTCTTTTTAGTCTTATAGGAGCCCACAGTTGAGAGAGTCAGACCTTGAAAGAGACTTTAGAGTTTTAGAGAGACTTTGGAATTTCAGAGAAATTTAACAAAACTTTTGGATGTTTTAAAGAGACTGTACTTTTGAATTGGATTTTTAAAGACCACGAGGCTTTTAAAAGTTGAAATGTTTTATATTTTCATATTAGATTCATACAAGATTTCAATAGTACACAAGAAACAAGATTATACAATTTAATGCTGATGTGTTTGTATGTCAGGTTGACAAAGGGGTTATCCTAGCTGTCATTTGTCAATTTGCTGCAAACCTAGACATACTAGAAAGAAGAAATCTTAAGTGAGAAAATGTCTGCATCAGACTGACCTGTAGGCAAGTCTGTGGAGTATTGTCTTATAATGGTGTGGGAAGGCCCAGCTCACTGTGAGCAGTGCTCTGTCTTGGGCCTATGGTCCTGGACTGTAGATGAAAACTGCCTGAGAAAGCCAAGGAGAATAACTCTGTAAGCAGCACCCACCATGGCTCCTGGTTCCGTTTTTGCCTACAGGTTCCTGCCTTGAGTTCCTACATTGACTTTTCTTCATGATAGACTGTGATTGGGACATGTAAGTTTCAATAAACCTCGTGCTTACTAAGTTCCCTTTGTTCATAAAAATAAAAAAGATCATACAACCCCTAAGACAAGTATATTCATATTTTAAAAAATTAGCCAGTATTAAACAAATTAAGGCCCTTTTTTAAAGGTGCTTGGTTGCAGCTTTCAAACAATCATGAACAGAGCTTATTTTGTTGAATCTACAGCTCTCCTACAGATTCCCCACAGTTGCTAGTACATGGAAATGTGATTTATTAACTGTTCACATATGGACCATGCTAAACATAACACGGAAGATGTTCTACACAGATGCTGCTGCTAAGGCAACACAGATAGCAGCTGCTTCCCAAACAATTCCTGATGAAGAATGGATCATGAATTCATGCATTTTTGCATTAATCTACGGCAGTCTCACTAGTGCAAGGGCACCAAACTGTTAGATCATGTGGGTTACAGGAAGTAGTGGAGCCTAATAAGCTGCCCTTGGGCAGTTCACCATTTCTCCAGATATACTATGTAATCTCACAATCTTTTAGTGTTCTCTATCAGTTTCCATGAGATATCTGGTAAACAATTCTGGCTTTCAGTTGTTTTTATATGATAGGTATTATCCTGGTCCCAACATACATAATCTAGAAATGTTTGAAGTAGCTGTCATGACTATGGCACAGATAAAATGAGGTTTAGAAAAGCTCAATAACTTCTCTAATTTTGTCTTAGTTACTTTTCAAAGCACCATGTTCAATGGGGTTTTTTCTTTTACAAAAAAGAAAGCATTTAATTTGAGGCTTATGGTTCTAAATAGTTAGAGTCCATTACTACTGTGGCTGCAGGTAAGCCAAGCATAGCACTGGAGTAGTAGTTGAGAACTTACATCTGATCCGCAAGTACAAGGGGGAGAGATGAGAGAGAGAGAGAGAGAGAGAGAGAGAGAGAGAGAGAGAGAGAGAGAGAGAAAGAGAGAGAGAGAGAGAGAACAAGGAATGATGTGGGCTTTTGAAACACCAATGCTCATGCAATTAACATATCTCCCCCAGCAAGGCCATACCTCCTAATCCTTCCCAAATAGTGCCAACAACTGGGAACCAATCATTTAATTGTATTACCCAATGGGGACCATTCTCCTGTTTTGGCATCTTTGGTATCCCAGGATAAATTGAACTTGCAGTTTAGGAGGTAGACATAATATCATCTGCAGCAATCCTCCTGCTTATGAAGAAGACCAGACAGTGGTTTCTCATGCTTGGAAATCAAGTACACAATTGATTTAGTTGATTGCACATAAGTGTTATAAATTATATACTTTTATCACCTCACCATCTTTCAACCAGATGGGCCTGTATTTGAAATATCTATGTATCTTTGTTGTGGTTTCAAGCTTTAGACAGGGAAGGCTACGTGAATCACTGGAATTAAGTCACATCAGGTCATAGAAAGAGGCATTTCTTGATTATGTTTCACACAAAGGAATTTGCCATTTTGACATGAAGACTGGGTTAGGCTGGGTATGAGTCCAGTGCATTGCATCCACATTGACTATGTCTTGGTGATCTCTTCACACCTGGAATACTGAAGTCCCCCTTCTGTTATTTATTGCTACTTTTCTGCAGATTGGCTAATTATGCTTTACTTACTTAGATACTCCAATGTTGGCTTCATAGACATAATTATTATAATCTTTTGATAATTGACCTTTATAATTACATAACAACATTCCTTTTCTCTCATAACAATGTTAGACTTGGGTCAATTTTATCCAAGTTTAATCATATGTTCTCTTCTGGTTGGCAATGACACAGTATCTCTTGTTTTCCTTCCACTTTCAATGTGTGTCTTTAAAGATGAATTATCTTTGGACAGCATCTATTTGGACAATTTTTATTACTGTTGCCTTGGTTTGTTTGAAATGTCTTTTTAATGTAATTATTTTATTTTGGGGTGCTAGAGATGGAGCACTAATCAGGGTCACTAATGCTAAGCAAATAATCTACAATAGATACACTGGTGTTTGTTTTTAAATCCATGAAGACTGCTATTGTCTTTTGATTGGGAAACTTAATCCATTTACATTTACAGGAATTATTAATAGGTAAGGATTTTACTGTCATCATTTCACTAATTGCCTTTTGACTGTTGTATTTTCTTTGTTCATATCTTTTAGTTGGCTATCTTCTTTTGTGATCTGCATTTTGTTTGCTTGTTTTGTTTGTAAAAGCATGCTTCATTTTATCTTATCTTTTGTGAATCTGATCTAAGTAATTTTTTCCACCGTTGTCATAAAGCTTACATAAAGTCTTTTGTAACAGTCAGCAACAGGCTCCCAACGGGATTTGAACTACATATGAAAATTCTATATTCCTATCTCCCCAGGAAACATTTTGTTATTTGTGTTAGTCCTTTTTTAACCACTGTGAAAATATATCTTAGAGAGTCAACTAAGGAGGAGGACATCTCCTAGGCTCTTCCACTCTTTTTTCCTTTCCGTCTTGCTCCTCTAGGTCAGTTGTAATGGCCCTCATTTGAAACTGCTATTCTGATTTCCACTGCATTGAGGCTCATGTTGAAGACCTCCATGGAATTATCAGCTCAGTTATTGTGCTTTCAAGAGTCAGAATTTATTTGGTTCTTTTCTACAGTGGATGATTTTTGGTGTTGCATGACCCATTTTGTTCCTGTCTCAGATTCCCATTTTGTTCAGTTGTGAATGTTCTCTTTCAGGTTTATGAGTTTCTTTATGATGGTTGTTTTTTTGTGGCTTGTCACACAGTTCACACAGCTTGTTGATCTTTACTTCTACAACTGGTTATTGCTGTTTTATGTTTCTCCTTTTCGCTGATTTTGCTGATTATCTGTAATCTTTGTATCTTTCAAGCTGTCTTCAAGCAGTGAAAGCTCCTCCTCAACCAACCCTTCTAGAGATCCTGCACAGTTTAGTATCCTAATTATACTTCTGTTATTGTGATAAAATATCATAACAAAGCAACTCATGGGAGAAAGGATTTATTTTATCTCACAATAACAGGTTAAAGGTCACCATAACAGGGAAGTCAAACTGGAACATAAAATAGCTGGTCACGTGATATCTATTTTCCTATGAAGAAGAATAAAAACATATGCATGTTCACTTCTTCACTTGCTTGGGGTCACCTGGATTTCCCCACTCATACATATCCAGCACCCCTAGGGAACAGTGCCACCTGCAATGAGCTGTGTCTTTCTGCACCTGTTTATTATCTGTAAAAATCATGTGCTGAAGACCATTCCTCATTGAGACTCTCCCAGGTGGTTCTAGCTCATGTCAAGTTGATATGTTAACCATCACATGAGGCTGCATGATCTAAAGGTGAGTCTCCTGATAGACTCTTCAAATGAGCTGGCCTAGTACCTGGGGTTCCAGGGAAAGAACACTATAATAGGCCTTTGCTCCTTGAGAGTGGGCTTGGTGCTAACTTTTCTGTAGCAAGGCCCACTGAGGCATGATAATATTGTTTATATCACTTAATATGCATTGGCTGTATGTTGAATCTGAACTTTGAGAAACTAAGATGGTTTTGAGGTTAATATGGTAGGTAGATTCAAGGACTGGGTTTAGTCTTAGTCTGTAAATTCTAAGCCAGTAATATGACTTACTGAATATCTTAGCCACTGAACTTACAGGCATGAACTTAGAGTCTAGAATCATGGGAGAAAATATGGGCCTAGGTTCCAGAGATATCAGCTCAGAGTCTGCTTTCATGTATGTTGTTATAGTTCCCTATAACACGGGTATCAGCCTGTCTCTAGGGTTCAATAGGACAGACTGATACTGGTGTCCATGTAATTGATTGTCACTGTTACTCACCTTTCTGTACACAGTTACCACTTTTTATCCTATACTGTATGAAATGGGTTGCTGTAGATAACAAAAAGCAGTCCTTTCTATCTCCCTTATTGTTTTTTCTCACTTGTGTTTCACTCAATTACTACAAAATCTTACTTGGGTATCCTCACTCTGTGGAAGGTTTGTTTATGGGTGTAAAGTGGTGTTCTGGAAACTTCTAGCATCTTACTCGCAGTAGTTCCCTTTTTGTTCATTTGTTTTTAAACAATACAGCTCAAAAACTTAAACATCTACGTAAATCTCCAAATTAACAAAGGTCCTATTTTATTAATTCAAATGCAATCTCTTTGGACAGTACCTTATATTTAGAATACTTAATTAGACTGGAAATGAAATTCAAAAGTGCTTTGTTTTAAAAGCTCTTAAGCATTTCAAAAAATTCAAACATTTAAATTAGTATTTTCTCAAACATATATAATTGTTTTGATTTTATTAGAATCACAAGTTCTAAAAAGCACAGTATTAGGGTTAAGTTTCTGGCTTGGTGACTTCATCATTGTGCCTTTGAAAGGTAAATTACCTCTGTGATTATCTTTTTGTCTGTAGAATGTGAACAACCCTATATCTATAAGGGGTTATTGCAGAGAAAAAGTTCATGTAAGCCAGGATTACACAAGAAAGGACCTGGAATTTAGTGTATGATCCATGGATGCTGGCCTATGTTACTAGCTTTAACAGAGGCTTGCTGAACCATTAAAGGGGCCAGTCATTAAATAACTGGAAAAATGAGTAATCAAATAAGGAGGTGATGTCACAACTCTGTCCATTCACAAGTGGTACTAAACAACAATGTGTACATCTGGTCTCAAGCTCATTCCAAGGACATTGTCCCCACAAAACAAACACCTCAAATTATCAAGTGAGAGGGAAAAAAAACTAACCTCCCTAAACCTATTCCATCCACTATGAAGAATCCTATATGTGCTCTGAATGGTGAGGTATAATGGAAGCCAGAGGAAAATAAAATGTAAAATACAGAAAGCTTGATTTTTAATCCATTCAAATATTTAAAACAGGAGCTGGAGAGATGGTCCACAGGTAAGAATGCTCAATGTGTAAGCATAGGATCTGAGTTAAAATGTCCAATCCCCACATAAAAAGTTGGGTGTGGCCATGAACCCCCTAACTATGGAGGGACAGAGACTGGAGCTCCACTTCAGATAGCTGTATGCTAGCCTAGATCCAGGTTCAGGCAGAGACCCCCTCCCAAGGGAGTAAGATAATGACAGAACAGGACACCTGACATACTCCTCTAACCTCTATGTGTACTTGTGCACAAGTGGTGCACCCATACATGTGCAAACACACACACACACACACACTCACACACACACTTAAAGGAAAGAAGAGTAGGTTGAGTAACTGCAGAAAAACCCAATGTGGCAAGTCCAAAAATCCAAATAATTGTAAGCTGAAATCATAGGTCAGCAATGTCAGTAAACTGTTGAAAGCATTGATGTAAATGCAATAGAGTTCGATACAAATCCATCACATAATAAAAGAGCTATATTAATAGAATATAAAGACATAAGTATAAACTAAGTGCGTCCCTATACCACCATGCTTAAGTCTACCCTAATTAACAAGCACTGCTTAGCTGGTGTCCTTATACCTCTCAAAACAGGATTCATGACAATTGATGAATGAATATAGTTTTGTTTATTGTTTCATGAAATGCTAGAACTTTCAAATAAAATATATGTTCAGGTTAAGATATGTTAGATGGATTTTAAAACTAAACTTAGGCCCCAGTACATACTTGTCTTTGGATAATAGGATCACTCCTTGGATCTCAGGCCAGCCTTTTCTGGCAACATTTCAGCTTTGGTTGCAAGAGAAACAGGAGATTATGGTGCTCTCCAAAACTACTTCTTCATGTCTTCTCTCCCTCATCTCCTTTCCATCCCAATTGACTGGTCAACAATGCAGTAGAAATTTCAACATTAAGAACTCCCACTGGCCCAGGTTTAACTGTATCCCAAATTTTAAAACTCTGAAATATATCCTTGGGTAACCAATGCCAATTTCAAGTGTCCCAGCCACCCTTCAGCTCTTGCCAAAATTACCCAGAACAGTAGCACTGCCTTGAGATACTGTGGTAGAATTACCTGAAATACTGTGAGGGGAGATATTTAGTACCTTGCTGTGGTTAACTTTCACAGAACTCCTATGTGTAAATCAGATCTTAACTTCCTAGAAAATGACAGTGAAATTCAGAGAGTCGTTTGTCCAATGCTGCCACATTTGCAAGAGGTTAAATCAGTCATTGACTTAAGCTTTTCCTATCAGTTGTTGGAATTAAGATAAAGATTTAAATAAAACCCAAAGTCATAATAATTTAGCAAGAAGTTAATTCTGCAAGCTCATGTCACTGATTATATAATTTGTGAAGGAAGAATCAACACATGTCTAATATGATTTAAATGAGAGTAAAACATTGGGCTTAATGTCATTTCTTCCTTATCTAACAATGTGGGATTTGGAGAAATCTGGTGTACATCACCCTACAGTGTTTCTCCACTTACAGGCTCTTGAATAATGGGAAAGCTGCTTAATTACTTGGAGCCTCCATTTTTCTCTAATAGTAACTCATGTGTTAATTGAAAGGATTAAAGGAAGGTGGCAGAGAACCAAAAACATAGGTGAGCTGTGTCAGCCACTGCTGACTGCAGGGACAGTGGGGTCAGCTCTATCTACTTTGCTCGAAATCTCACACTGCTCTTCTACAATCCAAATACCACCTTATAGATAATCATGTACATTGAGATCAAATAAGAGTTGTTTAAATAAAAAACAAGAGAATTCATCACACTTTATTCCTTTCAAAGGGATAATGTTTGATTCAGATGTACCCATTATGAGAGTTTTGACAACTAAAATGCAAAGGATAGATTTAGAAAGGAAAAAAAAATGAAGTCAGGATCTCCATGAACAAAGTGGTAGACTTATTTACATTTCAAACTGAAACATGCTGTAATATTCCCTTTAATGTGGTTGTGTTATGTTCAAAGCTGAGCTATTAAAGTACGGGGACTTTGCTGAGTTTAATGACAAAATCACTTTGTATTCTCAATCATACATATGTCATCTTTAGGGGATACAGCCAAAAGGATTGAAAACATAAATTTAAAGCGGAGTATTTATTCAGTCTAGACTCGTGTTGTCTTTCCTTCAGAGTGTTTGCTGAGGAATCAGACTGGCAAATATAGCTCTGTCAACATCTGCTCTCTATTTCCAAATTGACAGTATTCACAAGCAGAAGTTGGGATTACCTGTTGTTCTTAAACCTTGGATCAAGCTATAAATCCACATCCCATCACTACAAAAAAGGTCCCATTTGAAAATATATCCAACATATCCATTAAGGTGCATAAGAGGTTGTTTGTTTAAGTTTTACATGATTATCAATATTTTTTTTTTCATTTTATCAAGTGGGGAAGCAATTGGGTGTTTTCCTGAAGCCATTTTAAGGAGATTGAGGCAGTGAGTGTCGCTGATAAGTGTAAGCGATAGGAAATGCGCTATAGAAATCAGGTCAAAGACCCTGTGGAGGCAACAATAGAAGTGAAGAGCAGCCGTGATAGTGAGATCTTCAGAGAATGGATCTCAGAAGACAAGCCCTCCCTATCAGATGCAACTGCCAGGGAACTGCTTGTGTGGCTTGCAAAGGCTTGCTGCTTTCACACAGTGTGAAGTGCTCTGTAGGGGTCCTGGCCATTCATGGACAAAGGCATCTGTAGACAGATGTGTCATGGAGACATTAGGCTCAGTTACAGCCTGCTGGAAACCTCTGTACCTGTCCACTACAGCATCTAACCTTGGTGTCTCTCTGTGGACTTAGCCCCTTAGTGAGTATATGACTGCTGCACTTGACCTTGGAAACCTCACACAAGTTCCTTTCTTGTTTAAATCTGACGGTGTAGCTGTGCAGTGCAAGCCACTGTGTGGTTGTTGATGCATACTACTGATGTCCATCCTGTTTTTTCTAGTCTCAACTGGATTCTATTTAATCTTATTCTGCCCTCATGATAATGCTATTCAGAATATCTGTTTTTCTTTTCCTTCACTCAGATATTCCCTCTTATTCAATTTCTTTCATGGCTTTCTAGGATTTCCTCATCATTAATACCAAAATCCCTGCAGTGACTTAAAACATTATAAGTCTGGTTTCCTATCTTCTCTCCCAGCCTTCTCCACTCTCTTCCCCCTTTAGTTCTCACTGTCAAACACACACACACACACACACACACACACACACACACACACACGAGTCTTTCCTTGAATATGCTAACATACCTGTCTGGTGCTGAGACTGATGCACTGCAATTACAAAGTGGTTTTCTGCAGATGGTAATATGCCTCAGTCCATTACCTCCTTCTGTTTTTTCAACTTCTCAGAAAAGCCTCCCATGATTATTTTGTTGGAGTTTTTCATCTTACTTGTGATGAGACCTGAAAATGTGATGCAGTCTTTAATGAATTTACACAGATATGTAATTTCTACCTTCACAAATGGAGATATAGTCACATAGAGACCTCTTCTTCCGGGATTTAGTGATTTTGTTTATCTCTCAATCCCCTTAGCCAGATTTCTATGTGATCCTCCCTTGGAGTCTTAAAAGACTGAGCTTAGAGATTTAATGAAAGGAAGTCATAAATTGAAAGTACACATTTTCTTTTCCCCACTTTTCTCCTAATGGGCACCGATCTTCAAGTCTCCTGCTCAGAATCGTCCAGAGCACTGGTTCTTCCTCATCACACAATCGTCCAGAGCACTGGTTCTTACTCATCACAGAATCATCCAGTGCATTGGTTCTCATTCATCGCAGAATTGCCTAGAGTAATGGTTCTTCCCCCATCACACCACTGTTCTCTTTCTTTCTACTGTTATTTTCATTTTCCTACTGTCAGCCTGATTTTTAGAATACATTTGTGCCTAACACAATTATGTACATGTACACAATTAACAATGGCCATTCTCATCCTCGACCCTCTCTAATCCCCCTACCCATTCTGTCCACCATATCTCATCCACAGAAATCTCTCTCACACTCATGTCTATTTGTTTTGTTTTGTGACCAACTGTGATGAACCAGGGCTGCCTGTGTGGCCATGGGTTTGAAGCCTGGTGTACATAACAATCGATACACATCTGGAATCAACAGTTGTCCCTTTTCCAGAATCGATCAACAGCCAATAGTTCATCATGAAAAGATGCACACAAAGTATTGAGACCTGCTAAATAAAATGATATACCTTCCAAGAACTAGAAACTACAGATAAAACCACCAGAATCTAGTCCTGGGCTTATCACTTAATGAAAACTGGTACTGTGAATGACGTTTTATACTTCTTAATATCATCCGTTAAACTAAATACTAGAAATAATCACAGATACTAGCAATAGATACTATCAGTTAAGGCTTTTATTAGAAATTTGTGAAGCATTTAGACCAATTTGGGATATATATAGTACAGGTAATTCATGTTACTGTAATTTTCATCCTTACAATTTTAAATACACACTTCACTGTACATCACTCATTCTTGGGCTCCTCAGCAATATTATGAAAAATTAAAAACATCTTTAATCTCCACTTAAGTCAAAAAATTAGAGTCTATAAAGTACATAAGAGTACAAATGACCATGATTATATATGAAAGATGATGCTATAACTCAGGTTTCCCTTAATTAATCAAGATAATAATAGAACACCTGACCTGAAGGGATGGGATCTGATGCTGCCACAGTGGGTTTTAATGGTCATTTTACACATCAACAGCTGCGCTGAAGGTAACTCAAATCAAATGCTATTAATATAAGAGGTATACTTTTCAAATCAAATATTAGATCATTTGTAGTTTAATAAATTAGTTAAAATAAATTGAGGAAGTCCTATATTCCTCACAAGAGAGAGCTGTTTGAAATACCAAAGCCAGTAACATACAAGTGATTTTACATAAAGTTGAAAATGGAGCTGATTTCTACCAGGATCCAGCAAGGTTTCATTCAACTAGGAAAATGTAAGAGCATGAATTGAAATGCTTTCACATTACTGCAATTCATGAGAGACACTGCCACCAGAGATGGGTCCCTGGCTTAGCACTTTCACCTCAAAAGGACTATATTTTATTCTGAATTACATGTTTACAGCTTAATGCTTTCACTCATTTCTTGATATTTCTTATACAACTACTCCACTCAACATTTCCATGGTCACACAAAGGACAAAAACTCAAATGTTCTATGAGAGAAACATTTTTTCCCACAAACTCCATTACAGCCACAAAGCCGAATACAATGCAGCTCTTAAAAAAGACACAGCTCTCTATTTATGCCTGAATGTACGACTAAAATGTATTATCGTGGAAATGAAATGTGGAAAGCTTTGAACAAGGAACTCCAATTTTTAAGGACAGTAATACATCCATGTATGTATGCATGCATTATTAGCCATTATTACATGCACATATGTGAGGTACTTTTCTTGGAGCTAGGAGGGGTAAGAGGAGGACTAAGATTTTAGTTTCCTAATCGAAAACTTATGAACTCACAATTGAATTATTTAGCTTCATGTTTTGCAGCTCACATTTGTACCCCTAGAACTCAATATGCAGGTTGATGATGCATTTAGACTTTAGTTTCAAGCTATAGTTGCAGAAGAGTGAAGGAGAAACAGACCAGCCATGACACCGTGAGGAAATGGAGGCAGTTGAAAGGGGAAGAGGATGAGGATTTAAAAATATGTCTGAACATATGTGAAAGAGATTACTTAAAGAAGGTTAGTTAAGGTGTAAAGGAGAAGTGATGCAGTGTGACAGGGATGAACAAAATTACTCTGAGATAGATGGAATGAACTTACAGGCACGCAGTTGACTCATACAGTTTATTGCCAGGGAGTGGTAATGTCAACCCAAGACAGTTTGAGTGTCACTAAAAGTGGGTTAATAGAGGGGGTGGAGTAAAAATAAGAAGGCTTTTGGATTAAGAAGCAGCCACATGGGCATCTGAGATGGTTCGATATTAAAGGTGCTTGCTATGTAAATGAGAGAACCTCAGTTTGAATTCCCAGAGGTCATGTAAAGCCAGGTTGGGTAGGCCGTGTCTATAATTCCAGTGACCCTATGGGGTGGTAGATGGAAAGTAGACAAGAGAACCCACTGAAGCTTTGGCCCAGCCAGCCTTGTGTAAACTGCACAGGGATAAATGACAAAGAAACTATGCATCAAAAAAGGTACAAGCTATGGCATTAGCTAACACACACACACACACACACACACACACACACACACACACACACACACACCAAAAAAAACCATAATGAAGAAGTGGCAACAAGTGTGTGAGATACACACAGAAATTTCCATGACGATGACTACAGAGGTTTGAATGGTAACCACAGCTTTAAAAAAAAAGTAATATAAGTCTCTGTATGTATCTGCAGATCTTAACACCAGTTCTTACATTGATAGCATGTCTCAAACACAAAGATAACCAGATTACTGAATATTTCTTGAATGTCATTGGTTTTTATAAGAATTATAAATCTCATCATGGGTTTATTGTTTTTCTCCACAAACAAAAACATAAGCAAAGCAACTCACTACTAAATTGAAGTCGGTATTAAACGATTAATGTAACTATGGCAAGGTAGTGGAGTTCACTTACATTTCAGGGTTGGAATCTGAGCCTGTGGAACACTGAAGAATTCTCTTCACTAAGATGGAAAGACTATTGGCCAGACAATAAACATATAGACCTTGTGGATGAATACCTCCATCAGTAGTGTGGCTCAAGCCTCCCTCAAAATGTCCAATAAAATGTAGATAAAAGCAGGCCTTAAGTGTCCAAAAAGTATTTCAGCAGTGAGGCAAGAGGGAATCACATCTGCTTACTCCCTATTACCGCCTTTGTACGATGTTATAATACTAAACTACTTCTACTGCATCATAAAATGGATATTTGTAGTATGTTCTGAGTCATGAAGAACTCCATGAAATTATATATTCAAGAATATTTCCTGTTGTCGAGGCTCTTGTAGTCTGTGCAGCCAACAATCATAAAACAGTGAAACATTCACAAAGTCCCAGCCTTCAGTGTGTGGGATGGTGAAAAAGGTGAAGGAGCCATCTTGGGGCATGACTGGTGCCACAGAGGCTGTGGCGATTGGGCTGTTCTGTGAGGCATCATCCACCTCTCTAACTCTCTGTGTAGACCCACATATGGGGAATTTCACACTGCCTGTTACAAATCATAGTTCTGGACCATGAGTAGTGAACATAGCAGAACTCCCTGCCAAGGGAGAATTTGCAAATTAATCTTCTTCAGGTGAATTAATGCAATTGTAAAAGCATTATAATAAAATGATAGAGACCCTTGGCAGAGCCACTAGGGGAAATATAAGTCCCCTCTAATATGGAATTCCTTTCTGGAATAAATAGCTTTTTAGAATTTTTTGTTACAAAACCTCCTTTGTGAAAGAAAAATATTTTTTAATCCATTTGCATATTTGAAAACCAAACTTAATGGTATTTTTGGAGAATTGTTTTTATCATAATGCTTTGTCTGGACATTATTTTCTTCCTTTCTCTTTACCCTTTTTTCTTATCATACAGGTCTTTTGCTTATTTGCTAAAGTTTCTATTTTTTTTTTTGTGAGGTTTCTGTGTTTGCCAATGTCTCTGTTTTTTTGTTTTTGTTTTTTGTGAGTGTGCATTTTCTGTGTCTATGTTTTTTATTTTTGTTTTTTGTGAGTGTGCATTTTCTTTTACTCTTTATTCATTTTGTCCTATTCATATTTATTCATTTTTCTTTTCTTTTGTTATTACTGTTTTTAGATGCCTCTTTTGTTCTGAGAGAAACCATAAAGGACGCAGATTTGGGTGGGTTGGGAAGTTTGTGAACATTTGTGGAACACATGCTCTGTGCAGGTAACTGTTCCAAGTGCTGTAGAAATAGTAGTGAGGGGAGATAATAAGGACAGCAACAGCAAAGGTCAGATAGTTCTGTGCAGAGCGCTGAAGTGAGTCAACGGAGAAGGACCAGGTATAGAGCTTGTTAGCTTTGTGGTCCTAGAATCCTCTAAGTGAGATGATCACTGAATTGTTATGTCAAGAAAGAGGCAGCTAGAAAAATCAAGAGAAAGTTCACTTGAGGCAGAAGGATCTACAGGAGTGAGCAGAAACAGTGCAGAGGACTGAGAAGCAATGGATTGGAGGACAGCTGAGGCTGAATGAGAGGGAAGTGTATACACAGAGTGCTCAGCATCATCAAGCCACAGAAATCAAGGGTTAAAAAAACTCAAAAGCCTCAATTGGATTGTAGTTTTTTGGTTTGTATTTGACACTGTCTTTTATTACTGGGAATTTATGAACTGTGGTAGCTCTGGGGCAGGTCAGAGGCTGCAGCAGGTAGCCCGACGGCATTAATATAGAAAGGGAAGGTCAGGATG